CCGAAGTCGGACACTTAGCCGACTGAGCCACCCAGGCACCCCAAAAACTCTTCTGCTATTTTTAAGTCCACAGGTCTCTTGATCTCTCCCCATTTTAAGCACCCCCGCCCCCACCAGCCCATCCCTCATCTGGCACCTCCACACACCCCGGGCTCTGCTTTACCTGGCTGGCTTGACTTCTTCCATCTCCGAGAGTTTGGCTTGAATGAGGCAGAGCCCTGGAAGAGAAGACGTGGCCCCGAGAGCTCAGGCGGGCTCCTTCACTCAGGCCCACCCTCCCCCTTTACCAAGAGGTAGCGGTGAATGGAGAAAGGCCTGTGTTTACTCTTCACCTCTGCCCCACTCCACGTGCAGTCGGAGGCCTTGCATCTGCTCTCCGGGGGGAGGCCAGCGTCTGACAGGCTCTCCTCGGGCTGCAGGCGAGCGCCAGAGCCAAAGGGGCAGCCAAGGAAGGGGATTCAGCAGTAGCCCCCACCACCCCGAGGGCCCTTCCCAGGGCACTTCTGAGCAGATGTGGCCCCCCCTGCTCCTTGCAAAGTGGCAAGGACTTTCAAGTTGGTCTCCTAGAGAGAAATAAGTTGGGTACAGGCAGAACTCATGGCTGGGCAGGTGGGAGCACTTCTTGGGGATCCGGTGGCAGACTTGTGTCTGAAACTTGGGTTTCCCGACTTCTGTATCCGGGTGCTGCCGCCAGACCCTGGCACTCTCTGGGCTGTAATGGGCTGAACCAGCCGGATCCCTAACAGTCAGGCAGCAACAGAGAAGCGAATGAAAGGTTAAGAGTGTAGGCTGTGCACCTAGACAGACTTGGGTCAGAAAAGTTGTTACTCAATGGTTGAGTCTGTTTAACCTCCTCACATCTCATCAACAGAATGGAGATAACATCTATCCCTTCTTTTCAGGAGGGGCAGGGGTTAGCGCAGAGCCTGAGGTGGGTGATTAGTAAGGGCTGGTGGTTACTCTCCTGGCAGGTAAGCAAGGGAGGAGTTGAGGCCGGGAGACCCTGGGAGCCAGTACTACATGGGCGGGGGGGGGCGGGGTGCAGGAGGCGGGCACAGGTCCGTACCTGGAAAGACAAAGATGAAGCAGGCAGCCAGGCCTCCGATGACTGAGATGACCTTGCCGATGTCAGGGATGAAGAGTGCCAGCAGCAGGGTGAGCAGGAACCAGACCAGAGTCTGGAGCACGCGTCGCCGCCGCTCCCGCCCCACGTCCTCCTCCACGGGCATCCCCTGGTAGCGCAGCCACAGGCCCTCGATCACCGCCCTGCCCACACAGAGAGTGTCTCAGAGGCCCCCACCTCCGGTTCACAGAGCCAGACCTCTGAGTGCGTAGACTAGGGGTAAGGCCCTAAGCGCTGATCCTGTTTCCTGTTCTGTGCAATGGGTCCAGCAGTACTCTTGTGGTTGCCACGGGGACTGGACGGGATGGTGGATATGATGTGCTTAGGGCCTGGCCTGGCCCAGGACATGCTCACCTCGTGGAAACTGATGCTATTATCCTCCTGAAAAGGAAGGGTCTGGGTACGCCGGAGGCTAGGTGTTCAGGGAAGGATCTGACTACAGGTTCTTAGAGGACTCACAAAAGGCCAAAGGACTATGTTCAAAGGGCTCTCAGGGGTGCTGAGGAGTCCTGGTGAGAGGGAGCACTCCCATGGGGTGGGGAGGGGGCTCACCGCCCACAGAAGTGCAGGATGGGGTAGGAGGTGAGCACGCTCAGGATGATGAAGGCACGGGCAACAGCCACAGCCATGTCCTCCGAGGGGTAGGATAGGAGCACATCGGGGTCCACAGCAGCTCCAAAGGTCAGGAAGCCACAGATGCCTGAGGACAGGGACAAGAGGGCTGGCAGGGGCAATCCTGGGAGGGTGAGGGGGATGGACCATTTACTCCAGGCTGCAACTCAGATGGGGAGGTCGCTGGAGCAGCTCTGGAGGCTAAGAGGGTGTCAGGCTGGGACCCGAGGCTTTGTCCCAGACTTCTCACATCCCCTCCCCACTGCCACCTTTGTCATCCTGAGCTCACCCAGCACGTTCCTGTTTCGGAGCTTCTGCACTAACCTTCTGTCTGTCTAGCCCTTTGCACCCCTATCTCTTCACTATTCAGGCCACAGCTCTGGTGTCCCCTCCTCAGAGAATGAGTCTGCCCTGCCCATCCACAATAACCCCTGACCTTGGGCGCTCACTCACAGCACCCTGGTCTATTTTCCTCAGCACTCTCCTGTGTGTGTGTGTGTGTGTTTTTCCTTTTACACTTATTCATTGTGTGTCTCTCCAGCCAGAACACGAGCCCCAGGAGGACAGGGACTTGGCCTATTTGCCCCTCTTGCTCCTGGCTTTGTCTTCAGAGGTAGAACAATGCTGGCCCCATAACACCTGTGGAAGGAATCACGGCCTGGTCTTCCTGTTCTGCTTTGTCATCCAAATGATTCCCCGCATGGCGCCCGCAGCCATGTTTTGTCGAGATGTGCCCCTGCTGGAAATGCTTCCTCTTGGGCTCCCCATAGTCCTCAGGCCCAACAGGACCTACTCTGGTCCCTGTCTGGCCTCCCTGCCTGCCCCTCACCCCCAAATCACCCCACTCCAGCTGCACAGCCCTGTCTGTCCCTGCCTCAGGGGCCTGGCATTTCCCGCCTCTCTGTCTGGAACACTCTTCTCTCAGCCCTTCAGATGCTCGCTCCTCGTCACTGGGGCTCCCTACATGCCACCCCCTCAGACAGGAGCCTCCTGTGAACCATGGAGGCTGTCACCACCTCTCCTAGTCCCACTCACAGCTTCCCTCACTGTTGTGGTGGCACTCCCCACTGTCTGGATGTCCTTACTGACTCCTGCCTTACTCTTGTAAGACTCTCTGGCTAGACTGTCAATTCCAGGTGAGCAGGACCAGGTCTGTCAATCTTCACAGCATCCCCTGTGCTGGGAACAGTTCCCGGCACTCACGAGGCACTGACTGACAGGTGCCAAGTGAATGGGTGAATACATCTCTCTCATTTGGGGGGGGGAGGAGGCCCAAGGCAGCCCAGGTTCAAGCCAATGCCTACAGAAGTGTTTGATATGCTGGAAATGCTGGGCTGTCCCCAGGAAAGCTTGGCCAGAGGACTTGGAGACAAAGAGGAAAAGTGGGAGCACTCCAAGCCCAGCCGTCAGAGGGGAGCACTCACCCGTGCCCATGTAGACAGCGAGGGCTATGACCATGGCGGCTGTCACCACCCCACCCCAGGTCTTCACCTTGGGCTGCCGCATGCTATTGAAGACCGGCACACTGCTCACGTGGCACTGTTAGGGTGAAGGTCACAGTTATGGTGGGGAAGTGACCCCTTCCCAGTTTCCAGAGGGAGGCAGTTTGGGGACAAAGGCACCAGGGACAAGGGACAAGTCCCAGTGCTCTGACTCTGTCTTTCCTCCCAGGATGTCCCCATCCTCCCTATAATGTGGGTTCCTGTCCAGGGTGGGGAGTGAGCTAAGAGGACAACAGGAACCTTGCAACCGGCACCTGAAATCCGAAGCAGATGGTGGGCATAGCATTGAACACGGCTACCCAGGAAGCTGGCCTGTGGACAAACACACAAGAGTCTGCTGCCTGTGAATCCCACAGAGCCACCAACCACCCCATGTCCTTACTCTTCACTCATCCCACCATGGCCTCCACCAACCACTATTCTACATATTCAACCCCCTTAAGTCTGGAAACAGGGAGAGGGCACATCTCCATTTCACAGGTCAGTACACTGAGACTCTGGAAGACCCTTCTGGGACCAAAATCCAGAATTTCTGGAGCACTGGAGTTGCTTTCCTTTTTCTTTCAAAAACAAGAAACTTTTTTTTTTTTTTTAAATGAGAAAACAGATTCATCCTCATACAGAAATTACAGATAAGGACAAGTTGCAAAAATGTGCAATTCCACCCTGGTAGTCTCCATAACTGGAGGCCAAGTCTTACAATGGCTTATCTGTTGGATATTGGATATTGGATGTTGGTTCTCACTCTTGCCTCCTTTCTCCAATGACCAACAAGTCAAGCTCTGGTGACCTAATGAGCTTTAAAAAGAGCACCTGTATGGCCTTTTGATGTCTGACCCAGTACTTCCTGGAGCCCAAGTAGCGGCTTCCTTGGGGTTCTTACCCACCTAGTCAGGATGTCCCCTGGGGTCATCTCTTTATCTGGCCAGATATATTTGATGATAATGATGGCAGTGACGTACCAGGTGCCCACGACGCTCAAGAAGCTGCCAGAAAGAATGGTTTGAGTTTCCTCTTCCCCAGCCCCAGCTGCCCTCTCTCTGATTCCACCCCAGGGGTATCTACCCTCAGCTCTAGTGACCACAGTGTCTACTGAATAAATTGGGAGATTATTCCAAACAAAGATTCAAAAAATGCATGAGAAATAAGCTTTAGAGGGGTGCCTGGCTGGCTCAGTCAGAAAAGCATGTGACTCCTGATCTTGGGGTCATGAGTTTGAGCCCCACGTTGGGTGTATAGATTATTTATTATAGATAAATAAACTTAAAAAAAAAAAAAAGAAATAGGTTTTAGAGAAACCAGTCACAGCTTGGAGGGAGCTGGACCGCAAGAGGGGGCCAGACTAACATTTCTGACCATTAGGAAATGCACTGGTTCGGCTTAGAGGTCTGGGCTTCAAAGCATATGTGTTTCTTCCATCAGTGCAACCCTCACTTGGTGACTGCTACAAGGGCCTTTGAGAAGTAGGACCTGCTGGAGGTAGAAGGGCTGAAGATTCAAATACGGGGATGTCAACATTAAAGGGGACCTTGGAGACAGCCAAGTGTGACCCTGCCAATTGTGGATCACAGGAAATGGCTCAGAATTACACAGCTTTTCAGACCCTGAGCCAGGAAACCAGTCCTGTCCCTTCACACTAAGCTGCATGGAAGATGGGGCCAGGCTTGACAATTCCAAATGATAAAAAATCCCCTCCTCCCTGGGAAAGCCAAGGTCCTGGCCTGGAAGCTCCCTTCACACTCCTGATAACCACCTGTCTCTTCTGTGACAAGGACATTTGGAACAGGATCTCTCACTATGCAAAGGGCCACTGTCTCCCTTGATGCAGACACAAAAGGAAATCTTATGCTGGTGGCCTTGCGAGCCGTGGTCCACGCTGCCTTGCCCACTTTGGCTGCCCCAGAAGGAGAGGGGTTCTCCAGCAGTGCCTGGGCCTTTAGCTGTGTGTGATTAGAGCTTCTGTCTGGCCTGGGTTGGGGTGGGGCCTCCGAACCTGGCATACTTCTGGAATCCGATCTCTCTGGGGATGGAAAGGGGCAGGATGAAGAGGAAGGCAGTGAGGCTGATAGTGAACTTTCGGTCTGTGTACCAGGAGCTGCTGCCGGCCCCCTCAGGCTCCTTTGCCATCACAGCTATAACTGCACAGGGAGGAAGGAGGGAATGTCATGCCAGGCTCCTGCAGGCTGTGGCCCTCCTGCTCTGCTGAGCCTCAGGGCCTCCATCTGTCTAATGGGCTCAGCAGCCAGGAGGGAGGATTCACAGTAGAAGGCTGGACCCAGGCTAGGCCTTGGGCAGGTGTTGGTGCCCATTCCTCCACCCAGGATCCCGAAGGCCGAGCGGGAGGGATGAAGTAGGTACTGAGGGGAAAACTCACTCTTGTCTTGTTGGTCCCCGATGATGATGAGGAAGGCGATGCAGGTGCCGAAAGTGTAAATGGCAATGGTCACCTCACACAGCACGCCTGTCAGTTTGCCACACACAGCCCACACCACCTCCTGGTAGGTCCTCTCATTGCTGGCCTGGGAGCAGTAGGCCAGGATGACGAGGCCGCTGATGATGAAGACCAGCATGCCCTGCAAGCAGGACAGAGCCACAGGGTGTGGGACAGGCCTGGCAACAAAGGGCAGCCTGATCTTGCTCAGCATTTACTAGGCCAATGCCTACCGCCAGTTTGGTAAATAAGCCTCATCTTGTAGGCAACTTTACCAGATTGCTGGAGGCTGCCGAGTTGAGATTTTCTTTAAAAACAGAAGAAGTTTTGTGGAAAATTTCAAATACACACAAGTGGGACAAAATGGTATCATGAACCGCCATGCACCCATCACTCAGCTTCAAAAATAATCAACTCATGGCTCATCTTGTTTCCCTCTGCCACTCTGGATTATGTTGAAGGAAATACCAGCTATCAAATCATTTCACCAGTAAATATTCCAGCACGTAGTTCTAAAAGGTAAGAGCCCACTTTTTAAACATAAACTACAAAATTATTAAATATGCAGTCGATGTCCAAACTGCTGGGAAGCCTTCTGCAGCCTCACCTGGGCTCAGATGAAAGAGTGCTGGGATAGGTTAGTAATGTCTGCCAAGGGTGAGGGTGGGAGCAGTGGTAGCCTGTGTCATTGACTGACTATCCTTGAGGCAAAGCCTCCCTTCCAAGGTAAAGAGCTCAGACCCAACACCTGAACTGCATTTCTGCCCTTAAGGCCAGCACACTCACCATCTGCAGTGTGATGCCGGCTGCCACGCCCCCTGCAGTGCTGAAGGCCGCTGGGAAGTTGAGCAGCCCTGCACCCAGGCAGGCATTGACGACGATGAAGATGGCCCCAATTGTGGAAGTGGTGCCTCTGCCCAGACTCTCAAGAGACGCCTCCCCTTCACTCTTGGGGGCTGTGTCCACGCAGGGACTCTGCAGCAGACGGGCCCGCTCCCCAGAGTCCGTGCTCAGACCCCACTCGCCAAGGTCATTGTTGATGCTGACCTGGGCCATGGCCCTCGGAGCCCTCTTCCCACGGGGTCTGTGGATTCTGCCTCACAACCACATCCCCTGGGCAGCTGGAGGGCGGCACTAGCCTGTTTGGGGCTGTTATCCTAGGAGGCCTGTGAGCTCTGGCTCTTCTCAACCTAGATGGGAAACACAGGTACTACTGTTATCCTGAGATGGGCACAGAACGCTGAAACAACATTCCCAAGGTCATATGGCTGACATTCAAACCCAGGTGTGCCTCTGCAGAACACTGCATTTGGGTGTCACAGTGTATGGTGGCAGAGGCAGAAATATATCTGATGTAAAGCCTGCTTGCTTCAGGCTTAGAGACCCATAGGTAAGTAAGTCCTAAACCTAAGAGAGCGGAATACTAACACATCAGCACTACGGAGAGGCTACACTCCTGTTGGGCAGAAGTATCTTGGACATATCTTATCTCATTCAGTCCTTATCACAGTGGTCATAAGGCTCAGAGAGATCATATCGTTGACCCAGGGTCACATGCTAGCAAAAGGCAGAGCAGGATTTGGGTCTAAATCTATCTGGCCTCCCAGCCTGTTTCCACACCACAGGGTTTGCAATCGCAGCCCTCACCTAGAAGTGTGGGTATTGCAATATATTACAGTCCAACATACTGCCCTCTAGCCCAGAGTCTAAATTCTGTGTAGCTTTCAAAGCCCTTGAAAATTCAAGGCTAACTCTCACTCTTCTCCCTTGTGACTGACCTAACCATTGCCTATCAGAGAGGCGTCTCTCAGATGCCCTCAGCACACTGAGGGGTTTAGAATGGCTAATGAGGCCACTGCCCACCCCCAGGTCGTCGGATGCTTCTCATTGCTTCTCCTGGTGATGGATGAACAAAGGTGGGAACCATACGCTCATGAGAGGGAAAACAGAGAGTTTGGGTGCTCTCACCAAGCATGCAACCAAGGGACACAGCTCCAGAGGAAATATCTCTACTGCTGGCTCCAAGTCCAGAAAGATCAGATGCCACAGGCTTCCTCTTATGCAACCTGTTACTCAACCAGTAACACAGCAAAAAAAAAAAAAAAAAAAAAAAAATCAAAGCTGTGAGTAGTGGAGGCAGAGAGCTCTGGGCTCCCAGGTTTCCAGCGTAGCTCAAGAAAGAGCCCTGCAAAGTCAGCGCTCCCAGAGCTGTGAGACCCCCTCCTCCACCCTGCTCACATCTCAGACACAGAGGTCTCTGCACTGGTCCAAGATCTCTCGGCTGTCCTTCCATGCGAAGTCCCCGGTTCCATTGTCCCCACCTTACCTTCTCCTTCTGCCTGATGGGCTATGGTGGAGGGTGTGTTGTCCTTACAGCCCCTTCTCGAAGATCTGGGATCTGATTTTCCTCACTTCCCTCTCTGGCCCCAATTTCTTCTTCAAGACTTTATCTAAAATCTGCTGTCAGTGGAGAGAAGAGTGTGAGCTGTTTCTGCGCTGGTCAGCAGAGCGTCAGCAGCTCTGACGCTAACTCAATAATGGAGCACCAGATCAGTTAGAGGAACAGGCCCAGGGAAGGAAAGAGGCTAGACTAATGTCACAGCAGATAGTCGGCAGAACCAGAAGAATGATGTCCACAGGCTCAAGGCCAGAGCTGTAACCATTGCAATAGGCCCTCTCATATCCCAACCGGAGAGGGTTCCCAGTCCAGTCTGGGGCTGGATCCCAGAAATAAGCAGGGAGGGCTGCACTGGGAGGTGGGTTAGGGCGCACCCGGCGCGGAGGGGAAGATCCCCAGGCCCCAAGCGAGGCGAGTGGGCTGCTGTGAGGTAAGCTAGGAAGGCGCTTCAGGCCTAGCACTAGGTGGAAACAGCCCGAACTATGGCGCCGCGGCAAAGCCGGTCCTTTTGAGGGCTGGCGGAGGACCGACGACGCCGGGCTTCGGAGCCCCGCACGGAGTGGGCAGGGCTCTAGACAGCTGGGGTCCGAGACTTAACACTTCCACCCTCCACCGCCTCCACCTCCTACCACCTACCTAAGGTGCTTCCCACCCGAGCCGGCTGCAGAGACACGTGAGCCGAGGTCACATGACAGCCAGGGCTCAGGAGGGCCGCGGGAGACGCTGGAAGTTGTAGTTTTCTGCAGGCTTTAGGCTTGGACGGCACCGGCCCTCTGAATCCTCAACCACACATTTGCTGCGAGCCTCTCTCCGCTCCCAGACCACCATGCATAACCTGTTAGTTATATCTATATATATATATCTATATATGTGTATCTATACATATATACACATATATACGTATATATACGTATATACACATATATACACATATATACGTATATATGTATAGATACACATATATATGTATATATATATGTTTTTAATGTTTATTTATTTTTGAAAGAGAGAGACAGAGCACAAGCAGGGAGGGACAGAGAGAGAGGGAGACACAGAATCCAAAGCAGGCTCCAGGCTCTGAGCTGTCAGCCCAGAGCCTGACACGGGGCTGGAACCCTCGAGACCTGTGAGAGCATGACCCGAGCTACCCAGTCTTCCCTATCCTGTTAGTTTTAATCCTGGTCTCTTAGCCAAAGTGAAACATTCCTCCTTCCTTTTAGGAAGAACATTAGGAGCTTTGGTGTCTTTGCCAGGCCCAGGAACCGGACAAAAGCGATTTGGCCTCATTATCCTCCTGTGTCTCACTCCTGGCCTCAGACCCTCAACCAGTGACCCTGGAGTTTCTTTCACTGACAGTGAGGGACCACTTTTACCCACTTGAGCTGTGTGATCTTTCCTGTGAGAGGACTGGTCTGAGTATTGTTCATGGCCATAACCTCAGGGCCTAGATGCTAAAACAGTTTCTGAGGTATCTAGTTACTCATATAAAAAAATATTTGTGGAATGAGGGAATGGGTGTCCAGAGCCCTGGCTTCTGTTCCTGGTTGTGTGCAACATTTTCAAGTTGTCACGTAATCTTTGCCATTCCAATGTCCCGGGTCTGTCTTATGAGAATATACTCTCCACTACATGTATCTGTCCATGAATCAAGATCCTCATTGATGAGGGAACACAGGAAATACCACATAACCCAAGTCATCTTTAACTGAAATTTTTATTGAGATCGCTGTGGATTCATATGCAGTTATAAGAAATAATATGGGGGTGCCTGGGTGGCTCAGTTGGTTAAGGGTCTGACTCTTGATTTTGGCTCAGGTCATGATCTCATGGTTGGTGAGACCAAGCTCTGCGTTGGGCTCCGTGCTGACAGTGCAGAGCCTGCTTGAGAGTCTCTCTCTCTTTGTCCCTCCCCCCTTGCTCCTGCTGTCTCTCAAATTAAATGAATAGACTTAAAAAAGCAAAAACAGGGGCACTGGGTAGCTCAGTCAGTTAAGCGACTGACTGCAGTTCAGGTCATGATCTCGCAGTTTATGGGTTTGGGCCCCATGTCAGGCTCTGTGCTGACAGCTCAGAGCCTGGAGCCTGTTTCGGATTCTGTGTCTCCCTCTCTCTCTGCCCCTCCCCTGTTCACACTCTTGTCTCTGTCTCAAAAATAAATAAACATTTAAAAAAATTAAATTAAAAAAAATGGAATCAAACAGTTTGTAACTTAGGACTGGTTTTCTGTACTTAATTCCCAGAGACACATCCAAGTTGTCGTGTATGTCTTATTATTGAGTAGTATTTCGTGGTGTGTATGTACCAGTTTGTGTAATCACTTGCTGAAGGACAGCTGAGCTGTTTGCAAGTTTTGTTTTGTTTTT